ATCATTCTTACAGAAGGTCATGTGATCTGAAGCGCCAAAATCAATTATCCATGCTTCTCTGGACGATCTACTTGTGAAAAAAACAGAACTTGTACTGACCAAGCTTTGATCTGGTCTAGGATTTTCGGAAACAGGCCCAGCCTGTATCATGGCAGCGGAAACCAAGTGACCAGGCCTATTTGTTTTTTTAGTTATACATTCGGTCTAGTTCTGAGAATTAATTTCAGCCCATTTATCAAATTTGTAGAAAAAATTACCTTCTATCAATGAGTCCTTCTCACCGTTTACCAAAGGAACCAACGAAACTTTGTTACCTGTTGCGATGGTGGCTTTGCCCCCGTCGTTGCCTTGCTGTTTCTTCTTCTTCGGGTCCTTCCACCAGTCGGGATACACGTGTAACTTGAAACAGGTCTCTTTGGTATGCTTGATCCCCCCGCAGTGTGTACATCCGCCAGGTGGAGGCCGGGGCTTCGTTAGCCCAATTCTCACGGGTATCAGGTTTGCCTCGTTCTCCGTTGCCACCATTGCCATGCGTGTGTTGTTCTCCACTTTTTTGAGATGATAATTTTGCCGCACATCCTCTTGTCTCACCCTGGAAAAAGCCTCCTCAATGGATGGAAGTGGCTCTATACGGAGCACTTCAGCCCGTATACTATCCAGACGATCATCAAGACCGTCAAGAAAGTTATACACCCTTTCTTCCTGCATTAGAGAGTTATGTTTCTCTATATCTTTTGGACATTCCATAGGGTTGGGACGCCTAAAATCGATTTCTTGCCAGAAAAACTGTAGGTTGAAATATTCTTCAAGTGGTCTACCCGACTGTTTGAGTTGAGTTACTTTTCTCCTAAGGTTATACACTTGGGTCTTATCTTTTCCATCAAAATAAGCTACAACAACTACTTTCCAAACATCTCTGGCACAAGGGAAACGTATAAAATTACCTATTAAGGCAGAATCCATGGACCTAATAAGCCAGGCTTTGATGTTGGGAAATTACCCTGATTCCCCTATTGCCAGATTTGAGAGAAAGCGAAAAATAAATTGCGCAAAATTGGGGGACACGCAAGATTTACGTGGTTCGGCACAAAATTGCCTACGTCCACGGGCTGCTGCAGATCTTTCACTATTTGGGAGAAATTTTACAACACTCAATTTTTCTCACAACTCAATCCCACTCTGAAAATTGCTCACAATTTTCTCTCACAAAGACTTTTCTCTAAGCCTCTCTTTTCTCTCTCTTGTTCTTCTATAAGAGGAGTTGTTTCTGGGATGAGTTTTCCTTAAGAGATTGGGGACCTATTTATAGTGTTTGGAAAGACACTATGCACTAATATTTTAATACTGGTGGGGCCCGCCGGTGGGGCCCACGTACAATTTTTCTTCTCCCCTGTCATTCACCGAATATGGTGATTTGAGGATTGTCTGCATTTTTGTCAACTTTGGTGGCTTGAAGCTTTTCGGTGGCTCACCATTTTTGACTAACATTTGACAGTTGAATCTTCTGCAAACCATTTTGCATAACCTTCATCAGTTGTAGGTGGAGCTAGTAAAGTGCCGTTGATGTATCCTAATTTCTCCTTGCCTACAATATGCATCTCAACTACCTGCGCCCATAAACCGTAATTATGCCCGATTAGTTTCACCGAGATGGGTGGAGTTCGGTCATTGGTTGTCCCTGAGCGAGATGGTTGCTCCGTCTTGAGAGGCAGCGGTTGCGAAAGAATCTGAGCAAGCCGCTCAAGCAACGTAGTTGCTTTGGTTGAGTCGCTAGACTTCTTTGGTGAAGAAGGAGGAGTCATGATGTCGCTAGACTTCTTTGGCGAAGAATGAGAAGTCATCGTGAGGCTCTGATACTATGTCAAAAAACATAACAGATCCCAGTATGACACCGCACTCCCTAAAACCACCCTCCCTTATTTTATTTCTTTTCAATGTCTATTTTTATTTTTTACAGGAGAAGAGACTATCCTTTATAGAACACAGGTTTGTCTGCCAAGTTTCTCTTATTTTAGGAATGTAAGTATACAAGGAAAAAAACTAAATGTGCAGGATTGCAATCTTCTCATTTTAGGCGCATAACCATCTTGACAGAATCTACTAGCTGACGCCTCTATAGCTCACCTTTTCACAATAGTTATTGTGTTAACTGAAGTCTATGCGTGTAAGAGTTTTAATGATGTAAAACTTTCCGCATTAATATGGAAATGATTTTTTTACATTTGTGGAGGAATTATTTGAATAAAAGTTAGTTATTTTGGCTGAATATATCACATTGAACAGACTCTTGCTCAGGTTGTAAGTATTAACTCTTAATTGCACAGTATTATAGTTGAAGAGTAATGGTTGAAAATAGAGTAAAATGCCTAGAATCAAGATGCAAATTGCATGGGCTGGTAACCGAAACAATTTATGTGGGCATTAATTCAATATTATAAGCATTTTTTCAGGCTGCAAACCAGCATGAATTTTGTCTTAAAAGAAGATTTTGAACAATTCTGTAACAAATTTACTTATGGACTATGACATATCCAGGCAAGATTTAGAGATATTTGCAGTCAATTTTCAGTTAAGTCCAACTTTTATCTTATTATTACGTATCAATCCAAAACATGCACAGCTCCATAAGGTAGAGTCTGATAGAACACCTGACAGGAAATATATTTATTGAGTATTAGCTTTGCCTAATTTACCTTCTAGCTATTCCATTGTAGTCTACATAATCTACTGTTTCTAGTTTCTAAACTGTTAGCATTTTTGACATATGATTACTGCATGGTATCAGTCCCGAATCAGAATTCTGATATGTGTAATTTAGTATCTGCTTCGTGCATGTTACATATATCAGTCTAATTTCTAGTGTAAATATGTTTCATATATTTTGATGATGACAGTACGGAAATTAGGAAATTTTTTATACCATGTGAGAGCTTATTGGGTTCTTACTTCGAAACTTTTTATATAGTTTCCTAAAATTAACAGTTCTGAATTTTAAACTGTTAGCAATATAAATGTCTGATGCTGAACAGGTTCTGTATAAAAAATGTGTTACCTATAATTTAGCATCAGATTCGTCCTCGTTAAATAGCTCATTCGAATTCCTCATCTATATGGATATTTGTTCAGGTACATCCAAGAAATTTAATTGATGGAGATGATGCATGATGGACAATTGGTTTCTTACATTAGAACTTCTTCTGTAGTAGTCTGCACAATCAAGTGGCTCTAGTTTATAAACTGTCAGCATTTATAATATATATGGCTGCTACACTGTATTGGTCCCGTGTCAGAATTAAATCTGATTAATATAGTTCCATATCAGATTCATGAATCTTAAATATCTCAGCAAAGTACCAATATAAATATGTTTCCCATCTTCCGATGTTTACACTTTGACACTGTAGGCTACATAACTCTTCTCATATTTCTTTATGTTATTTATATGCACAAATCTAAAAATTTCCATATATGTCAGAGCAATACAGTAAGTATTACAGTTATGTGTCACATATTCTCTACGAACTTTTAGCCTTGAAGTATTCCTACCTATTTTTGGAACAACATTCTCGATAATACAGGGCGGAATAAAAGAGACTAGTGGCTGCTATTGAAAGCAAGAACACTGAAATTAGGAAATTCTTGATATCATGTGATAATTTATTGGATCCTTACTTCAGAACATATGAAATTATCAGTTCTGAATTTTAAACTGTTAGAGTTTGAAATATCTGATGCTAAATCAGTTCCGTATCAGAAATGTGTTATGCAACTTAGTATCAGATTCGTCCTTGATACATAAATCGTTCTAATTCCTACTTTTGATGCTAAATGAACCTGGAATTGGTTAATGCTTATAGCATATGTAAACCCAATATAATCCCTTATACTTAGATAACTTCCATTTACGTACGACACTCAAATTCTAGCATGTAAATGCCTGACTAAGTCCACCAGATTAACAACTACAGAAAGTCTAGTGAAATTCGATCCTCATCATCTATATGGATATTAGTTTAGGTGAATTGAATCAAATCTTGCAAAATTTTCATTTGCCTACGGGAAAAGTTGATCATTCATTATCACATGTCGTGGACAGCCCTCCACGCATACTTAAAGATTATTATCACAAACTCAAACAAGCAAGTAACAAGCAAAGTACGCAAGATGATTCTCAAAATCTAATCTCATTTTTCATTTTCCCTTTCTTTCTCTCTGCTCAGGTAATGAGTTAACCCCCCAACGGTAGAAAGTACTGTAGTTCTAAAATTCAATGACTATTTCACAAGATTACAGTGGGAAATGAAGAGGGGGAGATGACGCTTGAGTGGGGTTAACTCATTACCTGCGCCAACCATGTTTAGGATAAGCCTAACCATGATTCACTGTTTCTAATCCAAACCCTAACAAAAGGACTTGTATCAACAAAGAATGAAGTTTTGAGGAATTAATATCAAAATATGCAGGTTTGACGGACAAATATCTAATAACTAAAGATGTAAGTAAAGGGACTAATACCGTATAACCCCTATTTAAAATTTCAGTCAGTTTCGGCGAACCATATATAAGAGGAAAAACATAGAGAGAAAAAAAAAGTGAAATCATTTGGTTTAATCCTACATGCCCCCAGCGATCCTCTGGACACCACGTGAAACGAGAAAGCGTCCTATTTGGTACAATTGGGGGTTAAATTCGCAAAGCTATGCATTTTGGAGGGATTGCAGATATGAATGATACGAGGGGTGAACATGTAAAAACACCATGATTTGAAAGTGGCTCCAAATCAAATGTTTCCTAAAACGATCTACTTCGAGATTAGTTATTGAGTTGGTTGGTTCAGTAATTTTTCCCTTTATTACTGGAAATAATTGCTGCCATATTTGGTAAGTTATTATTATTGAGTTTTAGGAAACATTAGTTAGTTAGGCTACATAATCAAACCCGACAACGGCAACAGTCAGCGTGATTCCTCCGCTGCCTGAGCAATTTAATAAACGCGTCTGATCCTCGTCAGATCCCGTCGTCAGATCCTCATCTCCCGCCATCGTCAGATCCTCGTCTCCCGCCGCCGTCAGAACCCTTCATCTTCGCACGCCTCGTATTCGCCGCACGCCGTCAGATCGTCGCCGACGGATCCGCCGTCTGCTCCATAAGGTCGAATCGAAACTCTTGTTTTAATTTCATATCTAAATTATATGCGAACTAAGTTGTTTTGAAATGGTGATATTTTACATATCTAAATTGCTCTCTCTTCATTGGGCCTTTGTAGAAGTTTCACAGAAAAATACAACTCTCTGTTTCCCTCTCATCAGTAAATAACAATTTTCTCGCAGTGGAGTACTCTCTCCGACGATGGAAGAAGACGAAGATGAAGATATTACTAGTAGAATATCAGAAGCGCAGATTGGATTGGGAGGCATTGGAAATTAAGGTGAGATTATTATCCTGGCTGATTTTTTTGCTCATTATTTGATGTTTTTCTATTGTTTCTTTATTGAATTTATAGCATTGAAGTCCACCTCTAAAGATTAAAAGTAGTAGTCTTACCTAATGCCGTGTTTGATTTTTATGTTATTTTATATTTTTTTTTGCGAGCTATTGCTAGGTAAAATTCCAGCTTTTAGTAAGTAAAATTGGGGATTGCCAATTTCTTTCCACAATTTCTGAATATAGATCTCTATAGCCTTATACCTCACATTCAATCCAAGGAGATGTCCCGACCATCTTCTCAAGAGTTCAACCAGACATACTCAACTTTGGATAATACCTCTTGCATTGATAATTACGTCCTAAATGTAGGTCCAAAGTTGCAACCATGGATCTATTTTGCTTCCAAGAAATATGATCATAAGAGATTCCATAACACATAACGTAATAGGTATGCCGGCAATTTCTCCATGGAAAAGGCATCATGAAACTATTTTCATGCAATCATCTCAGCCACAGTACCAAATTTGTTGATGGATCGTTCGTTTCTCTTGTTTGGGTTATTTGCAAACATACCTATTGAATCATGGGTATTCACAAAACTAGCCCCCCAAAAATATCTCAGTATTTGCAAATCTACCCCTCAAGCCATCAATTGCGGAAAAGGATTCCTCCGAATCAATGAATTATCAACTTTAATAGGTTAGTATGCAACTGCAGTGTAAATAATTAACAACGTAGTCAAGTTTTTACTCATCAAGTTGATCATTTGTTGATTTTAGGGTGCCCCCCCCCACCCGTCAAAAATTGATGATCTGAGGGGTATAGCTTCGCAAATGCAAAGATTTGGGGGTAGTTTTGCAAATACCCATGACTTAAGGGGTATATATGCAGATAACCCTTCTTATTTCTTTGTGTGCTTGGAACTAAGAGAGTTTAGCTTTCTGTTCTTAGTTACAGATGATATAAAAGTTTCAGGTTTGTGGTTCATGTTTGTCACTGCACAGGATTTTGTTTTTTGGCTTATTAGATTTTGATAGGTTTGCATGTTTAAGACTAGAAATAATATGAATTACATGCATTGACCTGTTATTGGACTAAGTTTTGATTGCATTACACATTTTACAATTGGGAGGTTCAAGTTATTTATTCTTCATGCACTTATCTCTGAACTCAGAGATCAGTTTCAGGTTTTTGCGTTTACTTATAGATAGATGGTAAAAGTTTCAGGTTTTTGCTTTTAATTATAGATAGATGGTAAAAGTTCCAGGTTTAATTATTTCGTACCGAGATTAAGTTATGGTTTCGTTGTTTCGGGAAGATATCTGTTCTAGTACATGAATGGTTATAAATAGTTTAACTGATAAAGATTTCTTTTCCTCTCAGTCTGAGAACCTTCTATTTGAGTCATTAAGACTACTACAGTTGATGGAGCTCTCTGCACATACCATCAAAGCCACAGACATTACCTCTTCGGTAAAATGCTTTTTAAAAGATACCAGCGAGAGAATCAGAAATTTCGCCCATCTTCTCGTCACGGGCTGGGAGTTTCTTCTGAGTAAATGGACGGCTGATACCCGAGAAAGCTTCGATATATATTCGGCTAGAGAGGAGGAAATTCCGTTTGATATAGGTGATCTATTGGCTTCACAGACTTCGACGTTTGATCTCGCAAATTTCTTCAACGGAATGGTTGATGAATGGTCCCTTAGCAGAAGAGAGCAAAAGAGAACCGGGAAGAACATTGAAGTATTGAAAAGATCCATTCACAACCCTCAGGAAACTTTCATCATGAGTTACAGAAATGAAATGAGCTACCAAGTGAAACCAAAAGTTGTTTACAGGTTTCATCGAAGAGTGGAGAAAACTGGAGAAAATACTCAGTTAAAAACGATGAAAAATTCCATCACGAAGCCTCAGAAAACTTTGAAACCAGGAGGAAATCCAGCTTCAACAGAGCCAGCAAAGTCAGTCCTCCTAAAGAAGAGCACTGACAAACCGAGCCCCAACTTGAAGCCAATACAAGTCTGTAAAAGGGCTTCACCAAAGATTTTGCCTCGTGTCACTGGCAAACCTGAGGACCTGATGTATAAGGAGAAGCTCGAGGTTTCAAAGAGGAAGCTGCGAGAAAACTATGAGGATGCTGAAAATATAAAAAAGAAGCGCAGGGTCGTGATGATAGACCTGAAGAGCCTACCAGTTCAGCGAAATAGCCAAGAGAAGCATAAGGGGAATCGAGGGTGTCATATTAATAAATTTGCAACAAGGTTGCCGAAACATAATCATGTTTCTTTGGCTTGCTAGACAGGAGAAGGCAATAAATTCTGCAGAAGCAGAGGTCAGCGTATGCACTCTTGGAAACAACAAGAGAAGTCGGTCTAAATGCTCAGAAAAAGCTTATGACAGTAGTTTCACTTGAAATGTCATGTTTGTAATTTGTAATTGTTTATTTACCTGTCAATAGTTTACATTGACTTACTGGAAATAAAGTTCATTTTTTGAGATATTTTCTATGTGTGCCTCTCTGTGCACTTTCTTATTCGGTATATATGAACTCACAAAGGTACATAATTTTCTTGTCATCTATTTTATTTCTGTTTCACTCTTCTCGACTGTGTTTTTCACTTATTGAGCTGTGCATGTTTTTGACTGATACATAAGAATAAGAGTTGAATTTCTCAACCTAATATAACCTGGTAAAGGATAACTGACGCGCAATTTTTCTGACAGTAAGGGTGTCTTTTGGGGTTTAATTGTGTAATATTTTAATGTGTTTTCTTATTTAATTTGATATTTTGGATTGTATCAATTTAGAATGTTAGAGGGTTCATACTGGTTGTAAAATGGTTCTGATACAGATCAACATTACCAGGAGTAGCGTCAAGGGAATGGGCGGTGTCACCTTAGTAAATTTGCAACAATGCTGCCAAAAATTAATTATGTTCCTTAGGCTTGATAGATAAGGGGAAGGGAATAAGTTCAGTACTTTGTACCATCCCAGGCAAGTATATGTTCTAATAAAGATGCTTACAAGAATCATTTATATTTTTATTGTAATAGCTGGAAGGTAAATTAAGAAAAGCCAATACTCTGATAATTATTTTTCCTGTCAGGTGTTCTGTCAGACTCTTACCTTATGGAGTTGTGCATATTTTGCTGCTATGTAATAATAAGATAAAAGCTGCACTTAACTGAAAATCAACTGCAAATATTTTTAAATTTTGCGTGGATATGTCATGTCCATAAGTAACATTGTCATACAACTGTTCAAAATCTTTTTTTAAGATAAAATTCATGCTGATTTGCAGCCTGAAAAGCCTATAACTTTGAATTTTCATGAGTATCAATAGCCATTTCCTCACTGTTATAGGTCAAGCTGCATCCAGCATAAAAAAACCCCATTTGGGCTCAGCACAGAGAAAATTGATAGACTACTTGCATTCTTTAGGCCCATTGCTCTTCATAAGTATCACCTCTTGTACAACTTCATAACATCTCAGCAATTTCTCCTGCAACCAACCAAATTATAATCATATAAACCAACTAAAAACCTGGGTAGTTATAGCAAAACGTTACGTAATTGCAAAAGGATGAAAACTTTTCAATATCCAACATTTGGGTTTCTCCCAATACTGACATTGTAACTGCTGCTGCAATCTCAGAAGGCCTGAACGCTAAAAACTCGATTCCTGCATTCCAATTTCACATAATTCAGATAAATTTTACTTTATATACAAACTAGTTTTTTTTTCCGCTACAGTAATCCCGATTTTAACAATGGTTTTTGAATTGTGCGGTATCCCGCCTGCCACAATTCCCGTGTGCTACAGTAATTCTTTTCAAAAAAATCTACAATGCCCAGTTTCTTATTTGCTATAGTAATAATGCTACAGTAAAATGCTACTGTAGCATGAATGGTAAATTTTGGGTTCTCCCATTTGTATAGAGGAGTAGATTTATCGTATGGACGTGAACAAAGATTTTATACCTCTAGCGGTGCTCAATATTAGTTGAGCTCCTCGAGAGATCAATGGCTTGGTTGGGGAATTGTCATCATTGAATTTGTGAAGGAAATAGTCTATGAAAGAGAAAGGGGTGACTGCCTGCATCCTCCATTTGAGAGTGCTCAGAACAAGAAGCTCCATTCTTTGAATAGTCCTAGCTTCAAAAACATATTTCGATTCGCTAACCTGATTTAATTCACATAAAATTTTCATAATTAAGTAAAAATTTCTTATATTGCAAGCTAGGGAATAGTTCATATGGAATATTCAATTCATCTGTAAGTCAAGCAATAGAGGGACTTCAGTTTCCTCCGTCTTGGCAGCCAAAGACAGAAAAGCCACAGAGAGTAACTGATTCACATAAATGGTGTCTGTTGCAGCGGAGGGGCTTCACAGACACAGAAGATGTTTATACAAGAATGGACAAATAAAACAGCACACCAGGATTTAACGTGGTTCGGTCAGTATGACCTACGTCCACGGGCGAGAACAGCAGAGAAATTCACTAATCACCAAAGAGAAGATTACAAAGAGGAGATCACTCTCTTGCCAGAGACTCACACAAAGAAAGAGACAAATTCTTTCTATCTCACTCTCTTCTCTCTCTCTCTCTTCTTTTCTCTACTCAACTGAGTTTTCGATGCTCTTAAACCCTCTCCCTACACCTCCTTATATAGGCTCAAAATATTAATAAAATATTGTAATAGGGTAGGTGGAACAGTAAAATGTTAGGTGGAGGGGTTGGTGATTTTTGTTTTCATGGGCAAAGTCAAACAACAAATCTCCACCTTGACTTTGAATATGAAAACTTCTTCTCTTCACTCTTGCTGTCTCGCCAGAAGCCCCTTACGGGCTTAACCTTCGCTTTGTTGAACTCCAAGCAATTCGAGGCAATGCTCGAACTTGCGTGAAGGTACGGGCTTCGTCATCATATCTGCTGGATTATCTGCAGTACCAATTTTCTCAATCTTGATGACTTTAACTTCTCTGATAAAATGATACCTGACATCTATATGTTTGGTTCTTTCATGATACATCTGATGCTTCGTCAAATATATAGCACTTTGACTGTCACAAAATACCGTAGTAACACCTTGGTGTAAGCCGAGATCTTCAACCAAACCTCTCAACCAAATAGCTTCTTTCACTGCTTCCGTCACTGCCATATACTCTGCCTCTGTAGTAGACAAAGCAACTGTCGACTGTAGAGTCGCCTTCCAACTAATGGCACTACCTGAAAGAGTGAATATATAACCTGTCAGGGATCGTCTCTTATCCAAATCGCCCGCATAATCTGAATCAGAATAGCCAAGTATTCTGCAATCTGAGTCTGTGTTCCTGCCAAAATACAAACCAATATTAGCAGATCCTCTCAAATATCTAAGTATCCATTTCACAGCCTGCCAATGGATCTTTCCAGGCTTATCCATGTACCGACTCACAACACTGACTGCATGTGAAATATCTGGACGGGTGCAAACCATCGCATACATAATGCTTCCAACTGCACTCGCATAAGGAACATGAGACATGTACTGCTCCTCCTCCTCAGTCTGAGGTGACAAATCTGCTGAAAGACGAAAATAAGCGGCAAACGGAGTCTTCACAGGCTTGGCATCAAGCATGCCAAATCTCTCCAACACCTTCTTGATGTATTTCTCCTGAGATAGGAATAAACTTCCTTCTCGCCTGTTCCTGTGGATCTCCATCCCTAAAATCTTCTTTGCTGCTCCTAAGTCCTTCATCTCAAACTCATGTTTGAGTTGAGATTTCAACTCGTTGATTTCTGACATATCTTTAGCTGCAATCAACATGTCATCAACATACAAAAGCAAATATACAAAAGAACCATCATTGAGCTTTTTATGATAAACACAACTATCATATTTACTTCTAGAGTAACCATGCTCAAACATGAAAGTATCAAATCTCAAATACCACTGCCTCGGAGACTGCTTCAACCCATAAAGAGATTTCTTCAACCTGCACACATGATCTTCTTTACCTTCAACAATGAATCCCTCTGGTTGATGCATAAAGATCTGCTCCTCAAGCTCACCATGTAGAAAAGCCGTTTTCACATCAAGTTCCTCAAGCTCCAAATTAAAATGAGCAACCATGGCAAGCAACACGCGGATTGAGGTGTGTTTTACAACTGGAGAGAATACTTCATTGAAGTCCACACCTTCGGTCTGACTGTAGCCTTTAGCTACCAAGCGTGCCTTGTACCTTACAGAATCTGTATCCGGAGCTCCTTCTTTCTTCTTGAAGACCCATTTACAGCCAACGATCTTCTGTCCCCTTGGTGGTTTCACTAACTCCCATGTCTGGTTCTTGTGAAGAGACTCCATCTCTTCAGTCATCGCAACAGTCCAATTTGCAGCCTCATTGCCACTAATAGCCTCCTTGTAGGTAGAAGGTTCTGGAACCTCAATCGATTCTGCTACACTCAAAGCATAAGCAAGCATGTCTGCATAGCGTTGAGGAGGTCGGATCTGCCTTTTTGTTCTCCCGGTGGTAATATTATACTATTGCTCTTGTGATGTATCAGCATCTGAAGTTGAACCTTCCGCAGTATCAACTGGTTCAACATAAGCACCCTCAAACACTCTCTTTGAAGCTGAGCTCTCTAGCTCCACATACTTGCTGGACTCTTTTTCAGTACATGTGGTATCAATAACAAACTCCTTCTTCGGGTAAAGCATTGATTTTTTATCAAAAGTAACATCCCTACTAATAATAAACTTAGGTGACTTGGGATCAGAACACCACAATCTATATCCCTTCACCCCAGTAGCATATCCTAGAAAGATAGCTTTCTTTGCTCTAGGTTCAAGCTTACCATCATTAACATGAAAATAAGCAGAGCAACCAAATACTCTTAAATGAGAGTAATCAGCAGGGGAACCAGACCATACCTCTTCTGGAGTCTTGAAATCAATTGCTGTGGAAGGAGATCTGTTTACCAAATAGCAAGCTGTATTAACTGCCTCAGCCCAAAAGTCTTTTGACAAACCGGCATTAGAGAGCATGCACCGAGCTCTCTCCAAAAGTGTTCTGTTCATCCTTTCTGCAACTCCATTTTGCTGTGGTGTATGCCGAACTGTACGATGACGCACAATACCTTCATTCTTGCAGAACTGGTCAAACTCCGTGGAACAAAACTCCATCCCATTGTCGGTTCTGAGGCGCTTCACTTTCTTTCCTGTTTGCTTCTCAATCATAACCTTCCATTGCTTGAAGGTTGCAAACACATCACTCTTATGCTTTAAAGGATACACTCAAATTTTTCTGGAATAATCATCAATCAATGTTAGCAGAAAATGAGCTCCACCTTTCGATGGAACCTGAGAGGGACCCCAAACATCTGAATGGATATAATCTAAAGTACCCTTGGTTCTATGGACACCGGTACTAAAGGATACTCTATGGTGTTTGCCGAAAACACAATGCTCACAAAAGTCTAATTTGCTGGTTTTCTGACCACAAAGCAGACCTTGTTTGCTCAATATATTCAGTCCTCTCTCACTCATATGCCCTAACCGCATATGCCACAAATGTGTAGTGTCTGAATCTGAATCCTCTGAGGATGACACTGCTGCAGCACCTGTCACTGTACTGCCTTCAAGGATATAGAGGGTATTTACCTTCTTTCCTTTCATCACAACAAGAGAGCCTTTACTTACTCTCAAAACTCCACCTTCAGCCGAAAACTTAAAACCATTTGAGTCAAGGGTGCCTAAAGAAATGAGGTTCTTCTTTAACTCTGGAATATGACGGACATTGCTCAATGTTCTAACAATACCATCATGGGTTCTAATCTTAATTGATCCGATACCGACAGTCTTGCAAGGCATGTTATTTCCCAACAAGACATTCCCACCATCGATAGATTGATATGTGACAAACCAATTCCTATGCGGACACATATGGTAGGAACAACCCGAATCAAGAACCCACTCATCTTGTGAATGAGTATTAACACTAACTGAAAGAACTTCATGTGAACTAGAAGACTCTTCAGTTACAGTGGCAACTGAAGGTTTTACATCCCCAGACTTTGACTGTGAATTGTCCTTTGCTTTGAGCGCTGGACAATTAGGTTTTATATGCCCATATTTGTGACAGTAATAACATTCAACATTTCTTCTTGGCCTGGACTTTGATCTAGACATGTTTCTAGATTTGCCTCTACCACTAACACCCTTTTCAGAACGACCACGAGCGAACAAGCCTTCAGCTTGATCCTCTCCTCCTACGACAGACACTTTCTGCCTTAACTCTTTTGAATGTAAGGCTGATTTGACATCCTCCAAAGAAAGTGTATCTCTACCGTATAACATGCTATTGACAAAATTTTCGTAGGAATGAGGTAATGAACATAACAAGATGAGTGCTTGATCTTCTTCATCAATTTTAACATCAATATTCTTTAAATCCATAAGAATAGTGTTAAGTTCATCTAAGTGGTCTTTAATTCGCATACCTTCCTTCATGCGAAGGGTGAAGAGGCGTTGCTTCAAGTAAAGCTTGTTCGTCAGAGATTTCGTCATGTACAAGCTCTTCAACTTGAGCCACAAACCGGCGGCGGTATCTTCATCGGCAACCTCCCGCAGGACCTCATCGGCCAAACAGAGCTGTATGGCACTATGCGCCTTCATCTCCAGCTCTTCTTTCTCGTCATCGGGCATAGATTCCGGCAACTTATCCTTTCCGGACAAGACCTTGAACAATCCTTGTTGTACTAGGAGAGCCCTCATTTTTACTCTCCACAAACTGAAGCTGTTTTTCCCATCGAATTTCTCCACTTTGTACTTTGCAGAAGACATCTGTTTACCAAATAGCAAGCTGTATTAACTGCGAATTTGTCTCTTTCTTTGTGTGAGTCTCTGGCAAGAGAGTGATCTCCTCTTTGTAATCTTCTCTTTGGTGATTAGTGAATTTCTCTGCTGTTCTCTACTCAACTGAGTTTTCGATGCTCTTAAACCCTCTCCCTACACCTCCTTATATAGGCTCAAAATATTAATAAAATATTGTAATAGGGTAGGTGGAACAGTAAAATGTTAGGTGGAGGGGTTGGTGATTTTTGTTTTCATGGGCAAAGTCAAACAACAGTGTCGGTTACCAGCGCATGCAATTGGCATCCTGAGCAAGAGTCTGCTCAATGTGATTGATATATTCAGCCAGAATAACTAAAGAAAAGCTAGAAACTGAATCAAGAAACTAACTTTTACTCAAATAACTCCACCACAAATGCAAACAGCCCTTTTCCACATTAATGCGGGAAAGTTTTACAACATTTTTTAAACTCTTACACAAAGACTGCATCTAATACAATAAGTATATATACATACGTATATATATATATATGTCGATATCGAATCCGCGCTCACCGTCTCAAACGAAAACTTGGCATGTGGATTCTTTTCTTCATCAGTGCTCGTTTCTTCTCCCTCAACTTCTCCTCGTTGGTACCTTGTTTCTTCGGTAACTCGTCCAGCTCCAAAACTTTGACGCTCCGCTGCTTCCTCGCGTTGTTGGATTCTTGATAACTTTGGTGGAGCTTTCTTTTGGTAATCTCGAGCTTCTCACCAAGCGATAGATTCTGCGCGATCTGAACGGAAGGCTTATCATCGGCAGGAGGAGATCGTGATTCCTCAGTGATCTTGACATCAGTTTTATCAGCAGGACGGGATGGTGCTTGTTTAGTGCTCTGCCGAGGATGTTGAGTTGGTTCGACTCGTCTTCTCCTCAAATTCTCCATCGGATTCTTGGCTGCACAGCTGGTTACATCTGCGGCGGTAGAGTACTGTGGTGTTGCAGCCTCCGTAGGCGCTGAGCCCTCACCGTTGAGGCGAAGTCGTTTTCTCGGTAACTCCTCTGATTTCTTCTCCTCCTCTTGAGCTGGATCATCTTTGACCGCGTAGAGGCGGCAAGATCTCGCCACGACTACACCTCCGCTCTTGATGACGAGTCGAACTCGCCTCTCCCGTGCTCCCTCCACCTCCATTGCTAATTCACCTTCCCTTTAAATTTTTTTTCTTTTTTCTTTCTTTTCTTTTCTCTTTTCTGAATTCTTTTTTGCCCTCAGGTTGTGGACGTGTTAATTTTAGTAGCGCATGCTCTGCTTTTATTCTTGGTTTGGTCTGAAGCCTACTCAGAGTAGGACTTGGCAGTCTCTAACCGTCTCTAACCGTCTCTAAATTCTAACAGTAACAATTTGGCAATTGAGCAATAACGATAATATTGTTTGCTAAAATGGATTCGGGTCAAATTCGTTTTGATCAATTGCTATCCGACTTCAATCTAATCTTTGAATCTTTCCAAATATAATTTTAGTTAGCATTACTCTTTAAAGTGATATATTTTTGAGTTAACCTCCCTGCAAGTGGCCTATTGGTCAGGGCATGGGGCCTTGGATAAAAAGTTTTATTCTTTTTGGGGTTTTTAATAAATTTTAAAATTTTGAGCAGAGTTTCTTGCAGCTCTAGAAACTTTTAAGGTGCTTTGTGCAAATTTCAAATTTATCCGATGGCTGTTAAGTAATTCCTAGATTTTCAGTGTATTGTTTGTTGGTTTGAAACTTTTAGGGTGTTTTTTTTTTGAAAATTTTGAATTTGAGGGTGTGTTATGCAATTAAAAATTTTAGGTTTTTTTCTGTAATTAAAAATTGTTTCGGTTTATAGGTAGAAATAAAACTGTTTGGGTTTAAGAATGAATCAGGGTAATTTACTTGGTGTTTAAAATTTAAGTGTTTTGAGCAATTATAATATCAAAATATGCGTATTTGACGGACTAATATCTAATTACTAAAGATGTAAGGGACTAACATCGAATAACCCCTGTTTAAAATTTCGGTCAGTTTCGACAAAGCATATGTACGAGGAAAAAAAAACATAAAAAAAAAGGTAAAAATCATTTGGTTTACTCAGTCGCATCCTATTTGGTAAAAGTGGGGGTTAAATTGCAAATACGAATGACACGAGGGGTGCGCATGTAAAAACACCTGCGCGAGCGATCGAGCAATCAAGGTTTCCCAAAGCGGGTTTGGGTTAAATCAAGTGAACCCGCTATCCACAATTTGAAAGTGGCTCGAAATCAAGTGCTTCCTATAATAAAACGATCTATTTCATGAACTCCTAAACCTACGCGGACTGCAGACTTTCCAAATCAATGCGGCTTCACTTTGTTACTTAATCCGAGTTGGTCCAGGAATCATAAGTTTCTAAAGTAAAAAAAAAAAAAAAAACACACAAAAGCTAATATATATTGAATGCGAGAGAAATAGAGAAGAAAGAAAAAAATAGAGGAGATGAAGCAGAAATCAGAGAGCACGTACGGCTGTGATGAAGAGGCCAGCGCGCTTCTCGACGAGATCGATGAGGAGAGCGACACCGTTCGAGAGGTGCTCAGGATCAAGAAGCTTCTTGATGCTCGTCATGAACACGTAAGTTTCATCTTTGTTGAATTCTTTTTCTTTTTTGGCTTGTTTCTTGATTGACTGGGATTCTTCTAAAATGGGTCCGAGGGGATTTCGAGTTTGCTTTAGTTTTTACAGTTTTGGAATGCTTAGGATTGAGAATTATTTATTTATTTATAATCGGCGGGTCTTGCCCTGAGCCCTCTGTGACCGAGCACTGTCCCGGATCGCACAAGAATCAATCTGAGAGGATTCTTCGGCCATGAACTCTTCGATAGGCTTCACAGGGACAGTCTTATTAGCTGCTAGCAACCACTTGCAGCTTAAGAAAGTGATTGGCTTATTAGATTTCGATAGGTTTGCAATGTTTAAGACTAGAAATAAGACGAATTACGTGCATTGACAGATGGTAAAAGTTTTGATTGCATTACACACATTTTATAATTGGGAGGTTCAAGTTATTTATTCTTCATGCGCTTATTCCTGAACTTAGAGATCAGTTTCAGGTTTTTGCGTGTAATTATAGATAGATGGTAAAAGTTTCAGGTTTAATTATTTTGTACCGAGATTAATTTATGGTTTCGTTGTTGTTTCGGGAAGATATCTGTTCTAGTGCAGTAATGGTTATAAATAGTTTAGCTGATAAAAATTTCTTTTCCTTGCAGTCTGAGAATCTTTTATTTGAGTCGTTAAGACTGCTGCAGTTGATGGAGCTCCCTGCGGATACCATCAAAGCCACAGGCATCACCACTTCAGTGCAATGCTTTTTGGAAGATACCAGTGAGAGAATCAGAAAATTCGCCCATCTTCTCGTCACAGGCTGGGAGTTTCTTCTGAATATGTATTCGGCTAGAGAGGAGGAACTTCCGTTTGATATAGGTGATCTATTGGCATCACAGACTTCGACGTTTGATATCGCAAATTTCTTCAGCGGAATGGTTGATGAATGGTCCCTTAGCAGAAGAGAACAAATGAGAACTGGGAAGAACATTGAAGTATTGAAAAGATCCATTCTCAAGCCTCAGGGGACTTTCATCACGAGTCACAGAAAAACTCAGTTGAGAACGGTGAAAAACTCCATCACCAAGCCTCAGGAAACTGTGAAACCAGCAGGAAATCCGGCTTCAACAGAACCAGCAAAGTCAGTTCTCCTAAAGAAGAGCACTGACGAACCGAGCCCCAACTTGAAGCCAATACAAGTCTGTAAAAGGGCTTCACCAAAGATTTTGCCTCGTGTCACTGGCAAACCTGAGGACCTGACGTATAAGGAGAAGCTCGAGATTTCAAAGAGGAAGCTGCGAGAAAACTATGAGGATGCTGAAAATATAAAAAAGAAGCGCAGGGTCGTGATGATAGACCTGAAGAGTCTACCAGTTCAGCGAAATAGCCAAGAGAAGCATAAGGGGAATCGAGGGTGTCATATTAATAAATTTGCAACAAGGTTGCCGAAACGTAATCATGTTTCTTTGGCTTGGTAGACAGGACAAGGCGATAAATTCTGCAGAAGCAGAGGTCAGCATATGCACTCTTGGAAACAACAAGAGAAGTCGGTCTAAATGCTCAGAAAAAGCTTATGACAGTAGTTTCATTGGAAATGTCATGTTTGTAATTGTAATTGTTTATATACCTGTCAATAGTTTACTTTGACTTACTGGAAATAAAGTTCATTTTTTGGGATAGTTTCTTTGTGTGCCTCTCTGTGCACTCCCTTATTCGGTACATATGAACTCATAGAGGTACATAGTCTTCTTGTCATCTATCTTATTTCCTTTTCACCCTTTTGGATTGTGTTTTTCACTAACTGAGCCGTGCATGTTTTTGACTGATACACAAGAATAAGAGTTGAATTCCTCAACTGTGTAGTGGTTAACTGATGCGCAATTTGTTTGAGAGTGTGAGTGTCTCTTGGGGGTTTCATTTGGTAATTTTGTGGAGCTTTAGGAGAATGCATGAATTGACTGAGAACCTGGACCGAATAAGATATATCAGGTCTTGTGATGGTTAGATAGATCAATCTGCCAATTAACCTTCTATATGCATCTGGCGACCTTAGAGGCTCTCCATCCTCATCATTGAGCTTCTTGCGTGGTTCTACAGATACAAGTGAAGGGTTGCATCCCATCTTTCCTGTGTCTTCCAGAATATCCGGGCAATATTTTCTCTGATTGAGAAAAACACCCTTTGCTAATGCAGCCACCTCTATGCCAGGAAAGTATTTCAACCTTCCAAGATCCTTGGCGTGAAAGTTACCAGCATTATATAATTTCAAACCATCAATGGAAGCTTTACTATTTCCTCATCAGGTCTTGGATGTAAACAAGGTAGTTAGCCCAATCGAATAGGCATGTAAATCATAGCATGATTGTAGGGATTGTAAACAAGGTAGTTAGCAATCCTATAGGCATGTAAATCATGGCATAGCTTGATTGTAGGGATTGGGCTGTTATATAGGATCTGATTGTTAGGATTTGTTGTAATCCCTACCTTGTACAAATTGTCTATATAAAGAGAATGAAACCCACGGGGAAATTGTGAAGGCAAATTCAATTTCTTTTCTTGGTATCAGAGCCTTTTCCAATCTACCCTCTCTATCACCATGACGGGTTCCAGCGCCTCACAAATCTCCGGCATCCTGGCTTCCTCCCCGAGCGACTCTACCATGTCTTCTTTCATCAAGTCTTCCACCATCGCTACTGCTATCACTTGCAAACTAACGCGCACCAATTTCTTGCTTTGGAAGGCGCAAGTCGTTCCCATCTTAGGGGGTGTCCAGCTCTTTGGATACCTCGATGGCACTACACCGATGCCCGTCGCCATGGTGACTGAGGGAACCGACACCGATGCAAGGCAGGTCTTGAATCCTGCCCGTGCTACCTGGATCGTCCAGGATCAGGCCATTCTTGGTGGCCTCCTGTCCTCAATGACAGAGGACGTTCTGCCTCAACTCATCCGTCAGATCGACACGTCCGGCCAGTTGTGGGCATCACTCCACACCATGTTCTCCGCTCAGCACCGCGGGAACTCAATCCAGATCCGCGCGCAGCTCTCGAACACGAGAAAGGGCGACATGAGCGCAGCAGAGTATTATCAGAAGATGACGGGACTCGCTGATACTATGGCGCACATTGGACGTCCCATGTCCGATGAAGAGGTGATCGGCTACATACTCGCCGGTCTGGGGCCGGGCCATAGTGATCTCTTCACCGCCATCACTGTGCTGAGCAATCAGCGTGCGGTGACTCTTCCGGAGTTCTACTCCTATCTGATTTCTCATGAGACCCAAGCCACGCTGATGAGCGGCACGGCGGAGTTCACGTCATCCGCCAACAACGTCACGCGCCAGGAATCCAACGCTCCTCGTCGCAACAACAGCAACAACGGCTACACCACCACCAACAACAACCATAGGAATAACTACCGCAACGGCGGTGGTGGTCGCGGACGAGGCCGCGGCCGTGGCAGGAACAATGGTGGCCCTCGCTGCCAAGTGTGTGGCATCCCAGGCCACATTGCGTTGAACTGTCGCAACAGGTTCAATCACTCCTATCAGCCAGATGAATATCGTGGTGGAAACAGTGCGACCACGGGAGGCTACAACGGTGACACAAACTGGTATATTGATACTGGTGCTACGGATCATCTTACGAGTGATCTAGATCGGCTGTCCATCCAGGAGCGCTACCATGGCAAGGATCAGGTGCAAGTGGCCAACGGAGCAGGTTTGCATATTTCCCATATTGGTCATTCTATAATTTCCGGTTTAGATCGTCCTCTTGCTCTTAAAAATATCCTTCATGTTCCTCATATCAATAAGCATCTCCTCTCTGTTCATAAACTTGTTTCTGATAATAATGTCTTCATTGAATTTCATGCTGATGCTTTCTTTGTTAAGGACAAGGCCACGAAGAAAACGCTTCTACGCGGTAGGAGCAGAGGAGGTCTTTATCCAGTGCCGTCCAGCCGCTCCTCTTCCACCACTTCCCATCATGCATCGTCCAGTGTCAAGGTGTCGTCATCGCAATGGCATCAGCGTCTTGGTCATCCTACTTCCACAATTGTTAGGTCCATCTTGAAGTTAAATAAATTAGACTGTTCTTTTGATTATGAGTCCTCTGTGTGTGATGCATGTCAGCGTGCAAAGAGTCATCAACTCCCCTATAATAATTCTGTTCGTGTCACCACATCTCCACTTGAGCTTATTCACTCCGATGTTTGGGGGCCAGCTCAAGCATCTACTGGAGGTTTTAAGTATTATGTAAGTTTTGTGGATGATTACAGTCGTTATACTTGGATCTATCTTATTAAGAATAAATCTGATGTTGAACAAATCTTTTATAATTTCCAAAAACATGTTGAGCGACTTTTGAATTCCAAAATCCGCACTGTTCAATCTGATTGGGGTGGTGAGTATCACCGGCTTAATAAATATTTCCAGAGTTCAGGTATTTTGCACCGTGTTTCGTGCCCCCATACATCACAACAAAACGGAGTGGCCGAGCGAAAGCATCGTCACATCGTTGAAACAGGCTTGGCTCTCCTTGCGCACTCCTCCCTTCCTCTTCGGTTTTGGGATGAGGCTTTCTTGACAGCTTGTTATCTCATCAATCGCATGCCCAGTCGTACTCTAAACAACTCTACACCCATCACACGCCTCCTCAACGTAACACCTGATTACTCCTTTCTTCGCATTTTTGGCTGCGCATGCTGGCCAAGTCTTCGCAAATATAACTCTCATAAGCTTGACTTCCGATCCAAACTATGCGTCTTCTTAGGGTATAGTGCCATGCACAAGGGGTATAAGTGCTTGGACAAAAGTACTGGACGGATCTACATATCACGTGATGTGATCTTTGATGAATCACGTTTTCCGTTTGCTACCTCACCTTGTTCAGTCGCACCATCTTCTTTGTCCAGTGCTGTTTCCTTTCCTCAGTCTGAACCGGTAATTGTAAATGATCATATGCGAAATTATGACTTATCGCTCTTGTTGTCTAACACCTCAAATGCAGCTGCAGCTCCACCACCACCGGCGCTCATACCCACGCCTGTGATTCACGTCCCGGGCACATGCAGCATTGGGCCTGTTACACCTGGACCTGCTACACCGCCTCCCGGTCCAGAATCTTCGCTGCCTCCGCCTCGCGTCGATGCTGCACCATCTCCTGCATCTGGGCCTCAACTGGCCCAAGAACCCGGCAACCTTGTGCCCACGTTGCCTCCGCCTCGCATCGATGCTGCACCACCTCCTGCACCTGGGCCTCAACTGGCCCAAGAACCCGGCAACCTTGTGCCCGCGCATGCTGTTGCGAGCGATGTTGCTGTCCCAACTGATCCTGTTCAGTCTCCACATGGTGTCACTACACGTGGTCGTGCCGGAAAATCGTTTCCCAAGCAGCTCACCGACGGAACAGTTCGGTATGATCCGAACAGACGTGCTTTCTTCGCCGAGCCCACCTCACATCGACTGGCTCTCGCTGAGCCTGTTTGGCGCACTGCCATGGAAGCCGAGTTTGAAGCACTTCAGAAGAACAACACGTGGGCTCTCGTTCCCCGGCCGGCTGGTGTTAATATAGTCGGATGTAAATGGGTGTTCAAACTTAAGCAGCACCCGGATGGCTCTATTGATAAGCACAAGGCGAGGCTAGTTGCACGCGGTTTTACTCAGCGATATGGCGTTGACTATCAGGATACTTTCAGTCCGGTTGTGAAGCCTGCAACGGTTCGCTTGATTCTTGCCCTAGCTATGTCACGAGGATGGCAACTTCGACAGATTGATGTAAGCAACGCTTTTCTTCATGGCTTCTTGGATGAGGAAGTTTATATGCAGCAACCCCCTGGCTTCGAGGATTCCCGTCGGCCTCATTATGTGTGCAAACTCCAAAAGGCGCTCTACGGCCTAAAACAGTCGCCTCGTGCCTGGTTTTCACGACTTAGCGACAGATTATTCCAGCTTGGTTTTCAGTCTTCCAAGGCCGACACCTCTCTTTTCCTGTTTCATCATGGGGGCGTCACTATCTACATGCTTGTGTACGTGGATGACATCGTGGTTGCTGGCTCTTCTCAATCAGCAGTTGATCAGTTGCTGCGCGCCCTGTCTTCCTCATTTCCGATCAAAGATCTTGGACAGCTGCACTATTTTCTAGGGATTGAAGTCGTCTACAATTCAGGGGGAATCACCTTGATGCAGCACAAATATGCTTCTGACCTTCTTCACCGAGCTCACATGGAGAATTGTAAGAGCGTTTCAACCCCCATGTCTGTCACAGATAAGCTTGCTCGTGATTGTGGAACAGTGCTGGATGATGATGATGCTTTCAAATATCGAAGCATGGTAGGAGGTTTGCAATATCTTACATTAACAAGGCCAGATATTTCTTTTGCCGTTAATAAGGTATGTCAATATCTTTCCAAGCCCACTGATGTACATTGGGAGGCAGTCAAACGTATCTTAAGATATGTCAAGGGAACAGCTGCTACGGGACTTTACCTCCGGCGCTCCAACTCTACACTTCTGAGTGTGTTTACAGATGCCGATTGGGCTGGCTGCATGGATGATCGCAGGTCTACTGGAGGTTTTGCAGTATTTCTAGGTCCCAACCTGATTTCATGGAGCTCACGCAAGCAACCCACAGTATCTCGGTCCAGCACTGAAGCTGAGTACAAGGCCTTGGCTAATGGGACAGCTGAAGCAACGTGGGTACAATCCTTGCTGAAAGAATTGGATGTGTGTCAGCCGCGACCACCAGTATTATGGTGTGATAACCTTGGAGCTACCTATTTAACAGCAAATCCAGTGTTTCATGCACGAACGAAGCACATAGAGGTGGATTTCCATTTTGTCAGGGAGAAGGTTGCATTGGGCACTCTTGATGTCCGATTTGTATCTTCCAAAGATCAGGTAGCTGATGGATTCACCAAGCCAGCCACTCGCTACATGCTTGATCGCCTACGACACAATCTGAACCTTGTCATGGTTAAGATTGAGGGGGAATGTAAACAAGGTAGTTAGCCCAATCGAATAGGCATGTAAATCATAGCATGATTGTAGGGATTGTAAACAAGGTAGTTAGCAATCCTATAGGCATGTAAATCATGGCATAGCTTGATTGTAGGGATTGGGCTGTTATATAGGATCTGATTGTTAGGATTTGTTGTAATCCCTACCTTGTACAAATTGTCTATATAAAGAGAATGAAACCCACGGGGAAATTGTGAAGGCAAATTCAATTTCTTTTCTTTGGACTGATGAAAACTAGCTGCTAACAGTGCGCCTGAGAATTTGGCAAAACACCACCTCGAAGATCGCTTTAAGCCCATAAAGAGAGACTTATGTAAGAATTAATGCACAGTTAACATCCATTTCATATAAAGGCCAGTGAGGTGAGGCCACAACGGCAAGGTGCAAAAGTCTCTTTGTGTAAAAACCCTTTGCTACCAACCTGGCTTTATACCTCTCTATAGAACCATTTGCATTATGCTTGACTTTGTAAACCCGCTTATACCCAATAGTTTTCTTACCAGCTGCAGGCAAAGTGGCCAGAGACCAAGCGTGATTTTGTTCGAGGGCAGCTAGCTCTTGATCCACAGCCTCAATCCACTCCGGGTCCTTCATGGCTTGAATATATGTGGTATGTAAGGGATGATCATCAGGATTTTCATAGATAGGCTTCGGAATGACAGTTTGATCCGGAGTGCCTACGTGTTGAAAAGGAAAACACATCCTAAAAAAAAAGAAACTACTTCCCTACTGACAATGAATTTTTGAGTTTCAATATTTAACATCTGTAACCCTTTTGCCCATGAGGGGTATCCCATGAATATGCATATAGAGGCTCTAGGAGAGAATTTATCGTGGTTGTTTACATTTTTAGCAAAGCAAAGACAACCAAATACCCTTAAATGAGCATAACTGGGGGTTTTGTTGAAGAATCTATGGAATGGAGTAAAACCGGGTAGAAAAGATGTAGGAGTCCTATTTATAAAAATAGGCTGCAGTGAGGATGTACTCCCTCCCAAAACTGTGTAGGCAAATGAGATTGAAATTTAAGCGCCCTGGCTACTTCCAACAAGTGCCTATGTTTTCTCTGTACCACTCAATTATGTTAAGGAGTGTAGATGCAAGTCCTTTTGTCACGCCCCGAAATTGCAGCGGAAATTCATAAAATACGGGTTACGCGACAACAGCGACCCGTGCATGAAATGAGTCTTATGACGAGTCAAGCTTGGCACTTCATATCACATGGTTAATCTCAAAATATTAATAAACCTGCTGATGATAGAAGTTCAGAGCAACTATATACATATATAATCGGTACTTACAACCCACAAGCTCACCGTTACAAGCATTTTACAAAACAAAGCACACTATTGACTGTATGTAACATCAAAAAGGAGACTTTCCATATAACGCCTCTCAGCAAAACGCCATAACAAAAACTTTGGCTAGAATGAAGCTACCCGGATCTGAAAATTTTTAAAAACGACGTGGTGAACTAGAGTTTAGTGAGAACATTTCCCACTAGAGATCTTAGATAACTAACAAAATAATAATAATAATAATAATAATAATTCCCAGAATAACGAATTATAAATTTTGCATCAGAAATTCAAAAATAGCAAAATACGATCCAAATATCATAATATTGTCGTTTTCAAGAAAGAATGCAACAGTTACATTTTCTTTCTTATGTCCAATGGAATATACTAAGACATTTCATAGAATCAAACCTTGTTTTATCAAGGTAATCATAAAGAAAGAAAAAAAACTACTAATTTGCACAAAATAAGAGGATTATTATTTTCTTCATTTCATAGTCAATTGTCAGAATCCTAATTCTCGATGAGTTTTTCATAAATATGAAAGTCACCTCATTAGTCACACTAAGGCTACAAATTATAGTTCAGTAGCATGAGAATACGTAAAATGTATCATATAATAAATAATTCTCGGGAATCGAAACCACCTAACACTGTCATAGGTAACTGGCCTCATACAGAGGGGCCAGAACAAATTTCAGATGGGCCAATACAGAGGGGCCAAATAAAGGTGCATTCACCATATGACAGACAGAATCACTCCATAGAGGACTGTTTGAAGGTTTGAAAATATCAAGAATCACTTGTCAAATGAGTAACACCTTGCATATCAGAGTTTACAGATATTTTCAAATGAAGTGGACAAGGGTAAACTCCTCATCCTAGTTAAAACAGCTATGTATTGGATACGTAGATTCAGACTATGCTGGAGATTTGGATAAGCCTCGGTCGACGACGGGATATGTGTTTACTTTGACTCGTGCGCCGGTGTGTTGGAGATGCACCTTGCAGTCTATGGTGGCTTTATCGATGACTGAGGCAGAGTATATAGCGATTACGGAGGCTATTAAGGAGGCGATTTAGC